ACGCAAAGGAACCTGCTGTAGCACCTTTAGTCTCCATTGCAGGGTGCAGATGTGAGCTAAACAAATCCTCAGAACTCTCCAAGACATCCATCTTGCCCTGTGCAACAACCCCACCAACGTCACAGTTGCTTGAAAAGGTCCTCTGCCCTTGAACAGTGTGGCCAGGGATGAGGTTGGTGTCTTCCTGAAGGAAGCACTCGCTTGCTGCAGGTTTGCCTGTATCGGCTGCACCAGCACAGCTCCAGTAACAGCACAAAGAGATGAAGTTTCTTCTCTTCATAGCCCACGATACCATACAAACATCCGTTAAGTAGGTCCAGGTCAGCACCGGGCAGCTCCATGGAGAAGCTACAGACCTCGTGTGGAACTTCACAGCTCTGAGCTTGTTGGCTCAGGCTGGCCCAAATTTGACCAGCCCAGAGGTGAGGAAAGCTGGTTTAGCTGGACACTGAAGTTCGCAAGAACCCAAGCACTGGCTGATGAGTGGGACGTGGAGACCAACCAGGTAAAACCAAGTTGGAGACTCTTTGCTAATAGGAAAACTCCAGTAAACACCATCAGCACACATTCAAGTCAACTGTCTTTCAGCTCCTGACTCAGTATCCCCCCTCCTGCAGCCAGCATGAAGCTCCAACTCAGTAACAATGATGCCCCATCACTGGCAGTGTTCAAGGTCAGGTTCAACAGGGCTTGGAGCAAGCCAGCAGGAGATGTCACTGTCATGGGGTTGGACTGGATGACCTTTAGAGGTCGTGTCCAACCCAAACCACTCTATGAATGATTCCCATGAAAGATAAGGATAAGCCTCAAGATTTACTGGGCTCTGACCAACACTCTCCAAGCCCCTACATCTTGCAGCAGCTACGAGCTATAGAAAGCAACTCTTCCAAAAACCAAATCGTGCACATCCCTTTTCCTCACACCCCCACAGCAGGTACGGGACGGGGGAATGCCACCACCAGCAGCAAACGTCTTGCAGCCATCATGGGCTTGTTTTCAATTGTGCTCCCCACTGCACTTTGGAAACACCCAGCTGTTTCCTGGGACATGCTGTGTGGCGCATGCCTCATATCGCAACATTAGAGAGTGAGGAAGGAGACGATGAACCTTGAGGCACCCCCACCTCTGAAGAAAACCATCACCACTGCAAGTAATGCTTCTCTCAAGCTAAAAGCACATGCACTGGGAAAAGCACATCCTAAATAAGACGCACATTAACGAAGCGGCGAATCTGACTCAAGACATAGCGAAACGCTGTGCTTCCAGGTGGACACTGGGACACAAGGCTCCTACAACCACGTGAGCACCTCCTGATGGCTTCCAGAGCACCAGCCCCCCCAGAGAAAAAACAAAACATTAGTATTTATTTTATAAAGTCACTAGAGAAACCACTCTGGCTTCTTGCAAGAGCCCAGGGTTGAAACACTCAAGACTGGTTTAGCAGCAGCGCAATATACCCCGTACATTAACTGCTCAGCTCGGCCTGATGCCTGGTTTAACACTGAATGCTACAGATCACTGGTCACCACCACTCAAGTCCTCCACCTCTAACTTTACGAGGCTCAGCAGCAGGCAGCGTTTTCAGCTGGAACAGCTGCTCCAGGTGGGCACAGGCAGAACCCACAGCATTCGCTCACAAAGGTTTGCTCTCTCGTCCTTGCTCAAAACACCCTACTTTTAGCTCTGCTTCCAGTCCAGCCCCTGCACAGAGGTGTGCAACACGCCAGCCGTCTGTCTGCCTCCTTCCACCCCGGAGCCGGCCACGCACCGGGGATGCCATTCGCACAAAGTTTGCGAAGCACCCGAATCCTTTACAGGGACGTCTAAAAACGTGAAAACAGCATTCAGAAACAACAAGGAAAGGGAGGGGTGGGGAAAGAAACCACACCACTGCCAGCGGGTGCTGAATGGCTTGCTCAGAAGGAGCGATAAAGCTAGTGGCCGTGGCGTGATGCCGGGGGGAGGTTAAGGAAAATCCCCAGCACAGAGGAGAACCGGAGTTCACCGGCCATTAGCCTGCTCTCCCCTCCTTGTGCCTGGCTCCTTCCTCCTGTCAGAAAATGGGGTCAGAGCACGGGCCGGCCGGGAACTGTCGGAGAAGGATTCAAAGGGCAAAATAAACACAGGACTCAGTAACTCCTCTGCACGCCGGGAAGAAAATTAACAATAGTAATAACAATAATAAAGCTGCTGAAAACTGCCCCCCCACACCCCTCCCGAGAGGCCGGGACACGTCCGCACTCACCACCCGGTCCCCCTCCGCGGGCCGGGAGGCAACGCGCACCCCGATGGCCCGGGGCTCGCCGCCCCCCGGGCAGGGGAGCGAGAGCAGGGCAAGAGCGCACCCCGCCATCCCCGGCCCCGGCCCCCAGCAGTGCCCGTCGCTCCGCTCCTTCCCACCCCCCACCAAACCCTCCCGGCCTCCGCCCGCCGGCGCCCGGCCGCGGCGCTCACGCAAGGCCGGGGATGCACGGCCTGCCCCGGCGGCCCGCCCGCCCGCCGCACACTGCAAAGGAAGGGAAAGGGCAGCAGCGCCTGTGCCGCGGCCCTCTCCGGTCCCGGTGGCTCCCCGCGGGCCGGCCGGCCTGGCTCGGCGCGGCTCGACGCTGTTCGTCCCGGCCCAACGCTGCTCGTCCCGGCCCGTCCGGGCCCGCAGGCCTCAGGCCGCGGCGGCGCGAGAAGTGGTTGTGGCGGCCGCCGGCACGGCCCGCGCTTACTCCGGGGTAGGGTGCTCCGGGTCGTAGAAGTCCCCCATGGTCGGGCGGCCGCTGTCGGGGGCAGGCGCGGCCCCTCGGGCGGGCCGGGCCGGGCCGGGCCGCGCCGCGGGGAGGCCCCTCTCTGCCCTCCGAGCCCGGCGGGGGCTCGGCTCCGCCGCCGCCGCCTCACATCCTCCGCCGGGCGCCGCGCTGCAGCGGCCGCCGGCGGGGCCCCGCCATCCGCGCCGTGCCCTGCCCTGCCCTGCCCGCCGCCCGCCGCCGAGTCCGCCCCGGCCGCCCGGCTCCTCCCCGCCGCGCCGCCGCGCCGCCGCTCCCTGCCCGCCGCTCCGCGCCGCGCTGCTCCGCTCCCCCCGTCGCGGACACGGGCCGGGACCAGCCGCGGGATCACCAGGGTCACACCACACACCGGGATAAGCGCGGGATCGCCGAGATCTCCCAGGATCACCAGGACCGCACCGGGATCAGCCGTGGCACCACCGGGACCTCTTCGGGATCATGCCGGGATCTCCCCCTGGATCCACCAGGACTGCGCTGGGATCAGCTGCAGGATCATTGAGATCGCCCCAGGATCACCGGGACTGCACTGGGATCAGACATGGGATCAATGAGATCAACCCAGGATTACCAGGACTACTACAGTGCTAGCCACGGCACCACTGGGATCTCCTTGGGATCGTACCAGGATCACCTCTGGAATCACCATGACCACACTGGGATTAGCCACATCATCACCAAGATCTCCCTGGGGTCACTGGGACCACACTGGCATCAGCCATGGGGTCACTGAAATCTCCCTGGGATCACCAGGACTACACTGGGATCAGCCAGTGGATCAATGAGCTCTCCCCAGGATCACTGGGACCACACCAGAATCTCACTGGGATCACCAGGGTAGGATCACCAGTATCCTGGATCATCCACGGCACATGAGGATCAGCCCCATGACACAGGCACCACAGGAATCTGGGATCACCAGCACTGGTGGGATGTCCTAGGATCACCAGTACCCCTTGATCACCCACACCCCCAGACAATGGCACCACACCTCTGGGATTCCTGGCACCCGTGGATCACTGGCACCCCAGGACAACCTCAGGTCTCTCCTAGCATCACAGGTACCCCAGGAATCACACCTAGAACAGCCCCAGTAACACACCAAGACACCAGCACTTTATTTCACCAACTTCCCAAACCCCAGGGAGATCTCAGTGAGACAGTGCCAGAGTACCCGAGGATACCTGCCTGCTTTTGGGGTGTGAGGACCTTCCCGCTCACACAGGAGCCTCCAAACTACATTTGCAGCACCCAATATTGACATTTCTTCCTCTTTTTCTTTTCCCAGATTTGGGACTATGGCGTGGGCAGCAGTGGCACAGGGACCCACAGGGACAGGAGCAGCATCCATGTGGAAGCACAGCAGGGAAGCAGAGGAAGGGTGGATGGAGCTCAGTTTGTGTGGAAGAGTTTTCTTGGGAAGTTCAGGCTGGGTTGAACTTCCAGAAGCTTGATAAGCCTTTGGAAATCGGTAATTACACGAGAAGGGGATTTCTAGGCTGTTACCCACAGCACTCCTGGGGAGCAGGTGCCGTTGCCATAACAGGAGTGAGCTGCAACAAATTAAATCAAACAGCTTGGACTAATTAATTTCCCAGAGTTCCGTGTAAACGGAGAGGCAGCATGTGGAAAACCTTTGACCTGGGATGTGTGAATCCAGGGATGCTCCTGCTGTGGCTGGTGCCAGTTCTAGCAGCAGGGGCTCTTTGTCCTCTGTCCCATCGTTCAGTGGGGCTCAGCCGGCATTGCCCAATCACTCCAAGCCACATGCCAGTGGCTTTTCCAGTAATCCTGGTGATTTCCCAGCCTTTGGCCAGGGCGTTGCTAACAGCCACAGATCACAGGTGCTGCATTTGGGGGTCTTCGGTGTTATTCTTCAAGCTCCCCAAGTAATTCTGAAGTTCTCAGGGTTCCACAACCTCCCAGAGGGATAAAGAAGCGAATCCTGCCTGCAGCAGTTCCGAATGCAGACCGGACCCTGCACCCATCAGCTGCGGTGGCGAAGAGCCACTCGAAACACATGGTAGACACAAAAGTCACGGCTGACTCTTTTTATTCCTTGAAGAGTCAAGAAGTGGAATACCCAAGAAGAAGCCGGACCCTGGAGCTCCTTTAGGCCAAGCCTGCAGCCAGCACAGCATATATATATATGTATGTATGGGCCCACGTCCATATATTGCTCCTCAGAGCCTGTGGTATGGGCACAGAGGGGAGCAACGGGAGCTGACCCCGACGGCTGCCTGTTGGCAGCAGTAGGAGAAGATGAGATTCTTTTGGCTGGATATTTGGTACACAGACTCCCCTGCCATGTGCCGAGCTGGAAGCAGCCTCCCACCTCTTCTGAGGAAGAAGAGGACTTCCAGCAGGCCTTCAGCACACTCTGCTTCATGGGCAAAGATAACAGTAGCCTGGTTAAGCAGCACAGTATCCCCTGGAGCTTTCCAGTTGCTGGGCACCATGATCTCACCCTGAATCTGAATCACCTTCCTGGAAAGTGGTAGGCAAAAAATGCCCTAGTCCTGCTGCACTGGGGTGGGGAGGGTGTCATAAACAAGCGTTGCTGTTTGAACCCCTGGCTTGCTGCCTGTCTAAACAGGGGTTCAATTACCAATAACTGTCAGTCTAGCTGCATAAAAGTTAGATGATGTTGTTTTTCCTACTGTTTATTGTTCATAAATCTATTTGGGTATGAACATGAGGCATCTTTTGAGCTGGTGTTGCTTATGGGTTCCAGGCTGAGCCCAAATCTGCTATGTGACGTGCGGAAACGACATGGTTTTATTCTTCCCAGCAGCTGGGATGAGCCCCGGTTTCTTGCGCATTTGCTGTAGGGATGACATGGTTTTGTTGTAAGCGTGCTGGCAACAGGAAAGAAAAAAGGATCAGTAATGTGAGCTCAGTTTTCAGGGCAGAATTCCCACCTGTAAAAGACTTATTCCTGAAAAAAAAAAAACAAACCCAAAAAAAACCAAACCCCAACCCACTTTCTCAGTCTTCCCAAATGGTGATGGAAAAAGCTGCCCAAAGAAGCCCCATCACACCAGCATCATCCTACCGGGGCAGATCCCAGCAGGCTCAAAGGAGGGCACAAGAAACCCTGGGAAATGTTCCTCATGAGCACTGAAGAGCTGGTTTCGAGATGTGTTCCTTAAAAACCCTTACTGATGGTGATGTGCAGCCCTGTTACTGTCCTAATCTTTTTGAAGCTCAGGGCCTCGGTGGTATCTCATGGTAAGCCCTGAAAGAACTCCAGGTGAGAGGTGCTGGGACTGGTTTTTAGCATAAGAGCAGCATGGGATGGGGCCCATCAGCCAAAAAACGTTTCAAGGAGCTTAGTTACAGAACCAGACTAGCATCTTTCAACAGGCTACAGCCAAAATGACATCCATTCTGGAGGAGTCCTACACCCTACCTGGCAGCGAGGCGCAGAATCGCTCTCCCAACACGCATTGGCAGGGGTACATGGAACTGGACCCCCTGAGATTACCTTTTGATCAGTCCTCATTTTCGCCTTGTAGAAGGGGACTGAAGCTGGGCAGGCCGGCAGCGTTGTCTCCTGCATCTGCTTAAACCTCTCCTGAACGTCTTCCTCCTGCCACCAGACAGACAGACCCCACTCCATGTGAAAAACACACATCTGGAGGCATAGGGGTCAGCCGATCCCAAGTGCCTCATTGAATGCCAATACACCAGTGTCTCTGAAGCCTCGGAAGTGAGAGGTCCCCTCTTCCTATGACTTTGGTGAGCAGATTTGGGCAGGACTTTGGCCAAAATCCACCTGGAAGTGTAAAGCCCCAAATGAGTTCCTCCAGCTGTCTTCACACAGCCATGCTCTGCCTGTGACTACCCACAGGACAGTCTCCCTTCCCCTGCACAATAATCTTGCAGTGTGAAGGAAGTCTGAGCTTCAGTGTGGTCCTCACTGATCCCAGCTAGCTGATGTCCATGCCCTCATTTCTCCAGGGAACCTTCTGGAAGGTGTAAGCACACAGAATAGGAACATGGGTTGAATTAAGTACATTTATTTTGAGTTACCAGCATGTATATAATGTTTTCATGACATATTTGAGGATAGTTCTAGCAGATGCTTAGGCCACTTTCTGTGGTGATTCATGAGTAGCCTCGAGAAGGCGACAGTGGAATTCTGTCGTGATAAAAGGCAGGTGGCCAAATAGAACCTAGTTGAGAGTAAAAGATGCACACCCTGGAGAAATGGGCTAGGACAGCAAATGAAGAACTGGCCTGGAAAAGGGGAAATGGTTCTAAGTAGGAAACAAACCTCCAGAGAAAAATTGAGTGGTTGCCTCCCAGTGCCTCAGTGGGGCCAGTGATGCTGGGAAGCTGCAGTGAACTGCCCAGTAAAAGGGCACTGAGCCACATTAGCAGGGATACTGTTTATCCTTCCCCTGAAGATTTCTGCCTGTAACATCAGCAACTTGACACAGCTGCAGAACATTGCTAGAAGGCGTGCTTCATTCATCTTTGGGTTTATAACTGATGTGATGACACGAAATACAGGGCGGGAAGCCATTAAGGGACTATTTCTGAGCACATTGAGTAACTTCAGTTAATAGAAGTGACTAGTGATGGATCCTCTTTTCCCCAAAGAGGGACATCCTGGACCCAAGCAGTCAGCTGGGGTTTCCCTGTTGACCTCACTGGAGGGTTGGAGTTTGGTTTTTTGCTCTTTCCTGTACAGGTCTGCATTTGTATCTGAAAACTTCCACAGTCAGTAGATCACAACATTCTGTTTAAAAGTAAACTCAAAATAACTTCTTTTTTTTTCACCACATTATGTTTGTTACTCATACCCTCAAGGGAAACTAATTCAGTAGGACGGGAAGAACCTGTCTCTGATCTTTGAAATGCACCACATACCTTTCTAGAAGGGAAGAAGAAAACATTTCACTGATATTTACAGCCAAAATAATCATACACCTGGAGACAAGAGTTCCTTTTCTGTTTTCCTTCTAAAAAGTAAAAGCCACTACACATTGGAAAATGGGTCTGTGCATTTAGGAAAGGGGTCACACAGCTCACATCCTGCTTATTCTCTTTCCCAAACACCTGTGGGTGCCCCCTGCACCTGATGGGGATGGGCTTCTGGGAGAGACAGACATATGACCTGTTCCCTGTAGCTGTTCTCTGCGATCTGCAGAAGTTAAGCAGCAGTAATGGAGATGGGTTACACCTACAAAGGGCTGATTCTCCCTTACAGCCAGGGTGGGATTTCACTCTTTTGTTATAGACTCATAGAATCCCAGAATGGTTTGGGTTGGAAGGGACTTTAAAGTTCATCCAGTTCCAACCCCCTGCCACAGGCAGGGACACCTTCCACCAGACCAGGTTGCTCCAAGACCCGTCCAACCTGGCCTTGAACACTGCCAGGGATGGGGCAGCCACAGCTTCTCTGGGCAACCTGTGCCAGGGCCTCACCACCCTCACAGGGAAGAACTTCTGCCTCAGATCTCATCTCAGTCTCCCCTCTGTCAGTTTAAAGCCATTCCCCCTTGTCCTGTCCCTACCTGCCCTTGTCAAAAGCCCCTCTCCAGCTTTCTTGTTGGCCCCTTTAGGCACTGGAAGCTGCTCTAAGGTCTCCCTGGAGCCTTCTCTTCTCCAGGCTGAACAAGCCCAGCTCTCTCAGCCTGTCTCCATAGCAGAGGTGCTCCAGCTCTCAAAGCACCTTTGTGGCCTCCTCTGGACTCACTCCAACAGGTCACATCAGACTGAGTGGAGGAGCTGCCATCACATTCCTGTCAAACAGCATGAGGGTTTTGAGCCTGACATTTAACAATGAAGGACAAAACCTGGAATTACTTCTGAGGAGGATAATGCAAAGAAGTGTGGTAAATGAGAAGCTTAAGAGGAATGTGCTTTGTCAGAACTGACAAAAGACCCTGAGCACCCCAAAATTGTGGTTTCTAAACAGAAGGCTGGCTATATACCAGTTGCCACAACACAAAACACAATAGTTTAGCTGTACCAACTGGAAACAAGCCTCCCAACTACCCCTTGCACCTCTGGGCAGCGTGCCTGATTCCTGATAGTCAGCAGATGACTGGGTACTTCAATCACTGTGTCCTATTTTAGCCTCTTCATGGTAAAGCTAATGTGAAAGCAAGATGTATCTCCAGATAGTTGCTCTCTGCATCATAGCAGATAGCATTTCAATACCAGCCACTCTGCTTGAGAAGGAGGCAGAGATGCCATGTCCTCCTCCTCCTCCCACAGGCTTAGTTGTGCCCTCATTACCATGCCACGTGCGGCTATCAAAGAGAATAAACAGAGCTGCCAGGAAAACTCACCAGGCACATGACTCTGTTTATGGGAATCATTCCAGGTCTGATGTTGCCACCGGGCTTCAGAGCTTCCTGCACATCCTTGGGGATAAGGAAGGACTCGTTGTACCAGATCTCAAACTCTGCAAAGCAAAGCAAGGGGCTTTAATGACGGAAAAGACAGGGGTATATTGCTTTTGTCCATGAATCAGATAGGACTCAGTGCTCGTAAACATTCAGAGGGGACCTCAGAACCCCAACATCTTATAGAATCATAGAATAGTCAGGGTTGAAAAGGACCTTAAGATCATCTAGTTCCAATGCCCCTGCTGTGAGCAGGGACACCTCACACTAAACCATGTCACCCAAGGCTCTGTCCAACCTGGCCTTGAACACCGCCAGGGATGGAGCATTCTTGAGCTTTAACTATTAGGAAAGTTAGCCTAAAAGGACAGGGCACTGTTAGCTGACATCGACTGCGCTTAGAAAACTGCTGTCTGTCCCTGCTGCCTGCGATGTGGCCGGATCGTGGTTACCGGCCTTGGGGACAGTTCTCCGGGCTTGTGCAGTCTAAGATGCTGTCCGCAAGGTGGCACTGCTCCTGCGCCCTGGAGCCATCCTGCCCGGAGCTGGCCATTTTGAGGGGTCAGCATATTTGGGGCTCAGATTTCAATTTCAAATGGTTTCTCCATCCCGTAATAGCCAGTGATAACACACAGCAGGAATTGTGTCCTTATTAATACTGGGCATTTCCCAGACACCTGCTGTGAAACAGCTGTGCTTTGCTCCACAACTCTGGCACGTTCCCCCATGGAGTGGGAGAGCCTGTAGACCTTGAAGAGGGCTGTGCTCCATAGGAGTGCCCCTGGAACTGAGCTGCTTTCTGTGCCAGGAGTCATGAAGGATAAATAAAGGTTAAACACAGAGCCCTGCTCTTGTGCAGCACGGTGGACATGATGCAATAGCACTGACTTTGTCCCCTGGTTTTAGCTCTGAGATGACCTCTTCGCTCAGGGATGACCCAGATATTGAGTGAGTCCCTGCCTGTGTGCTTAAACAAACAGCAGATATCTGGAGCATGCAAAAGCACCAAACCCAGATCCAACGGAAACCAGTGGCAAAGTTTCTGCACATGTATGATTTGTCCCTATCTCTTGGAATAAGCCAGGCATTTTTTCAGCACGGGATGCACTGATGGATACAAGCTGTGCTCTGGCAAGTTTGTAGAAAATCAAATGCTGCCGTGTGCATGGCATCCAAATGTTTGTGAATCTGGCATTTGTACACCTACTGTCTTCCATCAGACAGGACAAATCCAAAACACAGCAGGACTACAATCCTGTTACAGCAGATTCAAACGGAGCGGCCTGCAGTGCAGTGCACCAGAAATCTGCATGCATCACCCTCGGCAGAGGTGTGACGTGTCCCTATGAGGGTGCTGCTCATCAAGAACACGCTAAAATGATCACTCTCTGCTTCCTGCCAAGGCACCCATGCTGCAACACTGGAACCTGAATCTCACAGGGGTACAGAGGACTCATCTGTAGTCCAGGCTAAAGCCCTGGCCCAGTGCAGTTCCTTAGCCACCACCTCGACTAAATGAAATCATCCAGCTCAGTGTCCAAATGCAGTCAAGCTTCAAGGTCCCTTCTAACCCACACCGTTGTGTGATTCTGATCCTAAACTGGAGACCGTTTGGAAACTGCCCTGGCAAGGCAGTACCTGAGATGAGTTTTTTCCGGCATTTGTTCACCAGATCCTGGCAGTACTCGATTTCTGCCTTCAGGTCCTGCAGTTCAGCATAACTAGACCTGTACTCTTCCTTCAGCTCCTTCAGCTTCCTGATGAGTAAAAACTCATTCTCATCAATTATGGTGTGTCCTTTCTCATCAACATACTCTCCTGGAGGGTAAGAAAAGGAAATTAAGGTTTCTTATGAGGGTGGAGAGGAATGAAGAACAGTCATTATACTTTGAACCACACAGTAGTTACCCAGTTATACTGAGGTTAACCACACAACTGACATTTCCTTAGACATGCTTACTACAAATACAATGCTGCAGTGGTGTGCAGCAGAAATCTCTGCTGAACTCCTGAACCCTCTCAGACACCAGTCCTCCCTCAACTGAGGCATATGCAGTTAAACCTTAAAAGGCTAACAAGAAAGCTGGAGACAGACTTTTTTTAAGAGCCTGTAGAAATAGGACGAAGGGGAATGGCTTTAAACTGACAGAGGGGAGATTTAGATGGGATCTGAGGCAGAAGTTCTTCCCTGTGAGGGGGGTGAGGCCCTGGCACAGGTTGCCCAGAGAAGCTGTGGCTGCCCCAACCCTGGCAGTGTTCAAGGCCGGGCTGGATGGGGCTTGGAGCAACCTGGTCTAGTGGAAGGTGTCCCTGCCCGTGGCAGGGGTTGGAACTGAATGAGCTTTAAGGTCCTTTCCAACCCAAACCGTTCTGAGATTCCTTGATTCACGAAGAGGAGAGACCAGGCTCTGCAGGAAGACAGACTCCTGGAGGGTATCATAGAGGGCTTTTACGCCTCCTACAGAAAAAGCCCATGGGCAGCCATGGTGAGGGTTTTTCTGACAAAGGGCTGGTCAGCCCTTCAGGGACACTTAAGCCAGTGCTACTGTCCTTTGATAAACATCTCTCAGTTTTTATTACCCTCAAATCAGTTTATTCCTGTGGTTTTCAGCATCCACAATGTACCACCAGTTGGTAAAAGTCATCATAAAGAGCAAAGGCTCAAGAAAAGCCATGAAAAGACAGACCCTTGCTTTGATCTGATTTTCTTGTCATTTATCCAGAAGAGCTTTGCATATTTCAGACCCTATGGGAAAAGGCCCACTGGTGATAAGATTCTCTCTAGAGGAAGAGAAATGGAAACCAGCAGATGAAACTGGTCCCTCATTTCCCCTTATTTCCCACTAATTGCCTGGCATCCATTAAGGGTGTAGTTTCACAGAACTGAGTTATTTTGCTGTCCTCCCCCCATGCAAGGAACACCATTGCTACTTCCTCACAGAGAACTCTAGACTGCTCTGTTACTACAGCCATTTGTTTCAGATTTCCCCCCTCGCTCAGAGGCTTTTCTTCTCCACTCCTCTGTAGAGTGCAGCAGCACTGAGTCTTGGGAGCCCTGCTGCAGGGAGCATGTAACTTGACACACTTCCTAGTCTCATCCAGGCATATTTCACCTAACAAACATCTTGCCACAGCAAAATAGGAAGGCACTTACCCTGTATTTTGCTCTAGTACCTTGTCGTTTGGGATTTTGACTTTCATAAATCATGGAATGGTTTGGGTTGGAAGGGACCTTAAAGCTCATCCCGTTCCAACCCTCTGTCATGGGCAAGGACACCTTCCACTAGGCCAGGTTGCTCCAAGCCCTGTCCAACCTGGCCTTGAAAACTGCCAGGGATGGGGCAGCCACAGCTTCTCGGGGCAACCTGTGCCAGGGCCTGATGAAATGAAGCTATAGGAGATGCATTTCCACCAGTTAGGGCAGGTGTGCTACCCAGGATTTCTGCTCTGTGCTGACCTGCTTTTGTCAGCAGAATGTTGCCTAATCCATCACAGTATGGGGTGACGAATCAACCTGACTGCAGCTCACCTCACCAGTGTAAAGCCTGAGTAGCATGATTCGGTGCAGATGAAGGGTGGAGGACTCAGGTAGCAAAACACAAGCTCAACTCCAGAGCAGGGGCATAAAGCCCTGCCCTGGCAGGCAGCAGTGGTGGTCCAGTGGTCTCACTACCAGAACTGCTTTGAAACCAGCAGCTCCCCTCTTCTATCAGATTCTTGCTGGCTAGTGTCCACTTACCCTGCTGCCACCGCTCCTGCTGCTGATCCTCCAGAGCCTTTTCGATGCTCTCCATCTCAACCTTGATGGAGTTGATCTTCTGTGTTACTGTATGTCTTCTCTTTTTCCTGTCAAGTAGGATGCATTTGTTCTCTTTAAAGATCCGGTTGATCTCACTTCCATGCTCCTCCTTAAACATCTCAAATGCTGCTGGCTTGGGCGGAGGGGAGCTGCAGCAGAATTCAAACAAAAGACACAGAGACATGAGAAGGTCAGTTCTGCCCTGCAGCACAACAGAGTCCATAGCTGCCATAGCTGAGGTTTGAGGATGGTATTCCAAGGTGCCCTCAAAGGATCCTCAAAGGTCCTAGCTGCACCCTGGCACCATCTCTGCACCAACCCTCATACGTGCACCCCAGTACTATTCCCAGAAGAAAGAGTTATTAACATAGAAACCACATTCCTTAGGAGATGCCTCAGAACTGAGTCTCCCCTGGAAAGTGGACCTTTAATGGTCTGAATTTTCAGAAAACAGGTAATTACTATCCCTCCCACTTGTTAAACAGAAATGCCTTTGCTCTTTCCTTGCTGGATTCCCAGCACAGAGCAGACAGTCACCTCTGCCAACAAACCCCATAGATGCATGGGCTCTACAATGCTGCCACCCACGGCTTTGAAGTCTTGCCTATTTAGAAAGACTGAATTCAAAGTGACACAAGTCAATCCTAACTTTTCTATGAAATGGCTGTGATGAAAAGGCTTTGATGCTCTGAGGGCTGGAGCACCTCTCCTGTGAGAGAGCTGGGCTTGTTCAGCCTGGAGAACAGGCAACCACTCTTTGATTCTATGATGCAAATGTGCTTCCATGAACACCAGCTCTTAGTTCAAAACAAACCACACTAGGCACAAGGAGAGGCCCTCAGGGGAACATCACACTCCTGTGGATGCTGCTCTGTACTGTATAAGGTTGGTTTTGGTGTGTAAGCTGGATCTGGCAGCAGAAGATAGCCAGAAGTCTCTTCATTCCTCAGTCCAGACTGGTCAAAGCAAAAGTCTGGCTACTGCCTTTCCCAGATTGACCTCTTCAGGGCATTTTCAGACTTCTCAAAGGCTGCATCAGACAGCTTTCCCTGTCAAACTGCTGGCATGGCAACGTAAACAACCACCACTGGGCAGACTGCCACAGCTACAGCTTTGACAGCCACCTACCAAGCTACCTGAAGAACTCTGGGTGCCTTACACAGCTGCAGCAGCAGCCTTCATTGCCAGCCACGGGACTTTAAGATTAATACTAAAACAGATGCAAAGGTCTTGGAGGAACATGATAACATGTTAAAGTGCTTCAGGAGTAAATACTCCTGGAACAGCTTCATTGTGATGCTCTCCCTGGGCAGCAGGAACGAGAAATGACTGGTTGTCTACAGCACAGGCAATGCAGGTGCTCACAATACTTAAGAGCTACATCGCTTGAGAGCTCTCAGCAAGAAAAGATGGTTGATGATGAGAAAACCAGTGTCCTGAACTGGTTTGTAGGGGGCCTTGGCTGAACTCCTGTGAGCTAAACAACCTCACTCTGTTGAGACCATTCTCCTGGAAAGAGTTCTTTGTCTTGGTACCCTTAGCATTTTTCACCCCATCCACTCATCCAGAACAAAATGCAATTCAGTGCTGCCCTCCCATGCTAAACTCTTGTCTTGCTGCAAGCAGCTGGTTGGCACATTGCTCCAGTTTTGGCCATTTTCCACTCTTCTGTTTTGATATGGTAAGTCCTGACATGATCTGTGCAGCTATTGACCCATTTTCATGACTATGTGGGGTTTTGTGGCTGCACATGTGGTGCTTCTGCAATTTTACTATTAGCTGAAGGGTAAAGAGTGCTTCAATTTTCAAAGACTTCCAAATTAATCATAGAATCCCAGGCTGGTTTGGGTTGGAAGGGACCTTAAAGCTCATCCAGCTCCAGCCCCCTGCCACGAGGAGGGACACCTTTCACTAGGCCAGGTTGCTCCAAGCCCCGTCCAACCTGGCCTTGAACACTGCCAGGGATGGGGCAGCCACAGCTTCTCTGGGCACCCTGTGCCAGGGCCTCACCACCCTCACAGGGAAGAACTTCCTCACATCTCATCTCAGTCTCCCCTCTGTCAGTTTAAAGCCATTCCCCCTTGTCCTGTCCATACCTGCCCTTGTCAAAAGCTCCTCTCCAGCTTTCTTGTCAGCCTCTTCAGGCACTGCTCTAAGGTCTCCCTCGAGCCTTCTCTTCTCCAGGCTGAACAAGCCCAGCCCTCTCAGTGTGCCTTCATAACAGAGGTGCTCCAGCCCTCGGAGCATCTTTGTGGCCTCTTCTGGACTCGCTCCAACAGCCCCATGTCCTTCTCATGCTGGGGCCCCAGAGCTGGACACAATATTCCATGTGGGGCCTCTCAAGAACAGAACAGAAGGAGAGAATCCCCTTCCTTGACGTGCTAGCCAAGGCAACATAATAGAGCAACTGGCCAGGGCAGCACTCAAAGCAGATGGAGAAGATAACAACATAACCAACAACATAATTCAGCACACAGGGTGTCCCTACAATCACTGCTGTCCTACAATGTATTAATGAATCCAAGCAAGCAAGATCTCTGAATCCCTCCTCTTTACTTTGAAGCAGATAGTTGTACTAGGTGAACACAATGCAATCACTTCAGTGTAAACAAACCTCTGGCAAACGGGATATTCTTCCTCACAGGAAAAACTTACCTGGGCTGCTGGGAATCCTCCACAGGAGGTGGCTTTGAGAGCTCTGCATCAATATTTGCTGTACCCTGGTCCCTTGGTACCTCTTTCCCATCCAAATCCTTGGTGGAAGGCACTACCTGACTTTTTGATGGTAAATCCCCTTCCACATCTTTCCAAGAAAGATTGCTCCTCGTTCCTTCCTTCCTGACAGGGGGGGAAAGGTGAACCAGATTAATCAAATTTTTCATGAAACCAGATCTTGCTGTGGGTGCTAGCGTTGCTGATTCAACACACTAGCAGTCTGATGAGGCTCCTACAAAAGCCTGCAGTGAAATACCTACTGACAAGCGGTAAGATCAGCTTTGTTCTCCTCACAAGTCCTTACCTCCTAGAGCTGAGAAATTGCCTTGTGTAGCAAATACTACAGAATATAGCACAGGCTGGACTAGATCTCTAGAGAAGGATCACAAGAGTCCCACCCTGTCTGGAGTGAAGCATGCCTGCAAACAGGATAACCCTCTTTACCTTCAGAGGAACCTACAAACCAAATTCCCCAGGATTTGATCTAACCCACATCAAAATCAACCCCAGCTCTCTGTTCTTTTCCCTCAGCTCACCTCCACAAACACCACCAGCCTTATCTGCAAGGGACAGTGTGACTTCAAAGGGATACAGAAAAGTGTTTGCTAAATCTCCTTGCATCTCCCTAAAAAACAGAACTGAAAAGAGAAGCCCACTGTGTCATGTGGATACTAATGCCTGGCAATTCCTCTCCTCTGTAATACAAGGACTTGGACCAACATAAGAAGGATGTGGAGCTGTTGGAGTGAATGCAGAGGAGGCCACAAACATGCTCTGAGGGCTGGAGCACCTCTGCTATGGAGACAGGCTGAGAGAGCTGGGCTTGTTTAGCCTGGAGAAGAGAAGGCTCCAGAGGGACCTTAGAGCAGCTTCCAGTGCCTAAAGGGGCCAACAAGAAAGCTGGAGAGGGGCTTTTGACAAGGGCAGGTAGGGATAGGACAAGGGGGAATGGCTTTAAACTGACAGAGGGGAGACTGAGATGTGAGGAAGGAGTTCTTCCCTGTGAGCAGAAAAAGATCCTTCAATTTATAAAAGTAAGGTCCCCTGCATTGCCTGTTTCTACCACTGCTCCCATGGCCAAAAGCTTCCTCTGCACTCACTCCAACAGGTCCATGTCCTTCTAAGGGTATGGCTGGTGGCCATAAGGACACCAGAAACCCTTACAGCGTTAGAGGAACCACAAAACTTTTACATACTTGTTTAAGCCAGCTTTGTCTGTCTTTCCCCATGGGTTGCTGCCAATCACACCTTGACCAAACCTGGCCACTGCGATGACACGTTATCAGAGAAAAGAGAGAGCAGTCTGGCTACTTAACCCACCTGAATGTCTCACCATTCCTCCTGGATTTCTTCTTCCTACCACGTCTGGGTGAAGGAGCAGCGCTAGTGTCAAAAGCCTGCTCATCGTCTTCATGCACCAAATGGCCATCCACATCAAATACACCTGCCTGGAAACAGGAAAAAATAAAACATGGACCAGAAACCATTAGATTGGTAGCTTTCTATACCACGAAAGCTATACAGCCCTTGCCCAACAGTTATTCCATCCTGTTGTATCATCTAATATGAAAATCTGTACACATTAATATGAAAATCTGTACACATTAGCAAGTATTCCAGGGAAACACATCTGTAAGAAAGAAGTGAGAACTAAAATAAGGCCAAAATCATCCTCAAATTCATATGCTGAATGTTTCAGCCACTTAGAGGGAGAACAACTTGGATCTAGTGTCCCAAAAGAAATAAAGGTACCCTCAGAAGTCTGGTGAGGCCCTGGCACAGCCTGCCCAGAGAAGCTTTGGCTGCCCCATCCCTGGCAGTGTTCAAGGCCAGGCTGGATGAGGCGTGGAGCAACCTGGTCTAGTGGAAGGTGTCCCTGCTCATGGCAGGGGGTTGGAACTGGATGGGCTTTAAGGTCCCATCCAAGCCAGACCATTCTGTGATTCTATGGTGATTCTTTGATTTCTGAGCCTCGTATTTCAACAGGGAAAAGTTGAGAACTTGAGGCAATTCATGTTACAGCATCAAAGGAGCCAATTCTAAGATTGATTCTGGGCCAGGCTTGAGCACTGGTCATTACCTTATGAAGAGCAGCAATAGTAACAAAGTCATTTTTGTCTATCAGAGCGTACTTGCTTCGTAATCTCGCCTCCACTTCACACTCCTGTTGACTAGGGGAGAAAACAGCCTCTTACCATTGTGTTCAAGGAGGATTATTTCTTATGTCAAGACCTTTAATAATGCCAATATCAGATTTCCAAAGAAAATAATTTTTTACCTATGATCTCATTCCCAAACACCTCACCTTGCTCCTTCCATTCTTTCCATAGCCACTGTAACCTTTATTTACTCTCCTCTTCCTATTTTCTACAAACTCCCTTTAGGCCTTGTACATACAGAAGCTTTCTGATGGCTCTTTTAATATTCTGCATAACCTTTTAGTGGTCCAGATCAAACCCTGTTACCTCCATTCAGTGCCATCCCCTTCCTTTAACCTAGTGATTTTTCAAACTGAGTCATTAAAAGCATTATCAGCAGACTCAAATACACCATATAAGACTGAAAATTCTTAAAGAATCTCCAAGTTAAAAACTACTGAACTCCACTGTTTCAGAACAATAAAATGAGCCCCAAGTTAAGAAAAAACTAATAGGCAAAATTTTATCATGAAACTCATTTTGTTCTCAGGTCCCAAGGAAAGCCTGACTGCCCAGTGTGATGATGTACCGCAGACAGTTGTGGTCACACAAGTTTCTCAAGGGCATGCAGCTTCTCTACAGCAATATCCCACTGTCATGCCTGTCAGTTGCAACCTCTACTGCCCAGACAGGTCGCACAGCTTGATGGGGCAGGGACTGCAGGGGTTGCCCTAATACCCTTATTCTTCTTTGTTCTCTTCTATTTCATGACATGCAAGGTGCTTGTCCTCATTTTTAGGAGCCTGTCATTCACCTTCCTTCCTTCAGCCTAAGAAACAACTTTCACCATCCACTGCTGATATTTTCAAACAGGCACTTTCTTGCTTTCTCCCATCCCACACCACACATCAGAGAGCACCTCTCTGGAAACAGCCACAGAACCTTCTTATCATGCCCCTGCAATCGTTTTGTGACCTACCTTTGCCACAATCTCTACAAAAACCAAGTAAACCTGATGGCTTCTTGAGGCTGCTGTGGTGAGATGACTTTACATCACCTCATCAAGGTCTGCTTTTTTTTTTGATCTGTTTGCAGAGTGCCTTGTGCAATGCTCCATGATTAGGGATCCCACACAGTTTATGCTCAGTGATAGTATATTTGCCAAGAATTTTTAACCAGTGACGTTCATCCGCGAGAGCCCTTGCACATGATGTATGAGCAATGGAAGTTAGAGGAAATAGTCTTCTTGTGCAGAGGCCAGCAGAATTTGTCCAGAATTGTGTTTTCCATTACAAGGAGGAAATGGCTTTAAACTGAAAGAGGGGAGATTTAGATGGGATCTGAGGAAGAAGTTCTTCCCTGTGAGGGTGGTGAGGCACTGGCACAGGTTGCCCAGAGAAGCTGTGGCTGCCCCATCCCTGGCAGTGCTCAAGACTCAGTTGGATGGGGCTTAGAGCAACCTGGTCTAGTGGAAGGTGTCCCTGCTCATGGCAAGGGGTTGGAACTGGATGAGCTTTAAGGTCCCTTTCAACCCAGACCAGTCTGGGATTCTATGACTCACCCATACCACTGTAAGTGTGATACCACAGACAAAAGCCTGGTAGCATTTCTTGAACCTTACCGTGATATGCATCAACCTTGGATATCTTACCTTAAAATCAGTTTGAACTGCTTGAATACCTCCTGGATTTGCCTGAGGTTCACTACCTGAGGAAAAGAGGTATACAGTGAAGATGTAAGTAAGCATCTCTAGGCTGTGGTCAGCTGTACTGATTCAAATATTTCAGACTGCAAGCACTCCACTTTCCATTTGCTGGGTGTCCATGCTCAAGCAGGATTACCTTTATCCTGAGAGTCAGGCTGGAGGTGGATATGTTGCTCACTCTTAGGAGACTTTTAAAGAGAAAGCAATCTGACAGACTACAGTAAATTCCATTTACTGCACAGCCATTGAGGTAATGAATTAATTATGATCATTTTTAAAATCACATAGATGGCATCTACTCACCTTGCAGATTATGATGCTAATTCTCTTTGCACTGCTGGCCAAGACTGCCTGAGTACTTAGACCTGCCAGAGCACTATTGTTAGTCCTCTTACCCATAATAACGAATCAGTGCAGTCAAGCCATACTACTCTCTGTTTTGGAGATGATGATCGGAGGCATGGACAAATAAATAATGGGCAGTCTGCAGATGAGAAAGAATCTGCCTCCAGCTCTCCCAAGGTCCGAAAGACTGGCCCACACTATGAAATGTGTAATCTCTGCTCTCAACCCTCTCTAAAAGATTCTTGAGTGTCACTGAAGACATCCTTGCCTGTGTAAACTCCTTAGTCCTTCCATACTTTCCCTGCTCCACATCACATTCTGAAAGTCAGGTAAAACACACCTTCACATATGCCCTTATTCTGCTCCACTCCTGCCTGCTGGAGGGAGAAAACAGTGACTTTGAGAGAAGACAATGATTACATGAAATGAGAGAAAGTGTCTCAAGTCTTTTGTTCAAACTAAAGGGTTATCTGTTTCGAAAACACTCTTCCAGCAACTTCTGCACTCTTTTCACAGTGGCTTCTGCTCACAACCAAACCAAATCTAACAGTAGCTCTGAGTGTGCATTTGCATTTCCATTTTCTTACATTTTGCTTGTTTTTCCTGTTTGCCCAGGCAGGAATATTTGTGTCCACAGGATTTCTGCTGGTTTTTTTCACAACCATTTTGCAGTCACCAGCTAGTTGCAAGTCAAGAAACCCAGCCTTAATGAACCTGTCTCTAAAAGACGGGACAGATTTTGGCAACACACCTTGCAAAGATTTAGTTTGACACTGGCAGAGCAAATTTTTGTCATTAATTATTTAAAGAAGTTCCAAATAAACCAACTCAAAGGGTTTCAGGACTGAGGAGAAGTCTCCTCAAGCTTCTGAAAAAGCAAAAATTGAATGAAAACAAAGGGACAGTCCTTAACACACAAAATAAAAACCAAACTGAATTACTATTCTGTAGCACTTTTGGGGTTAAAGACAGCCTCTTCAGAAGACATTTTCATTGCTTCTGTCCAGAGTAAAACAAGATGGAATCAGTACTTATGTGCTTCTCCACTAGAAAGCTACTTACATCAATTTCATCAATGGCTCCTTTTAGGTATCTATGGACTTGAGACTTAATCTCTTCTATCTGGACGTGAGACAGAGGGTCATAAGTCACCGAAGAACGATTTGCCTGAGAAAAAAGGTGAACAACCGAGTATCAGCAAATCACAAAAAGCTAAGCAAGTGTGATGAACACCTGATGTGGCTCTAATGTGCCCAGGGAAGCCTTGTGTTTAATTTCTGATTGTGACTCCACACATCATCCGAGTTGATAGGACATGGGACGTGGGGACATGCTGGAAGTAATGCATCCCCTGCACATTTCAATCACACAACAGGAGGGCTTCGAGAGCCTGAAGAAAAAATAGGTGGGGTGGCTGGGGACTGAACCTACAACACAGTCTCTCTGGTATCTTCAGAGCTTTGCTTAAACCCCAAAAGACAGTGCTGAAAGCTGAAGGAAGAATACAGTCACTCTGAGTGCTGAGTTAGCTGATCCTACTGCAAAAGAAAACTCAGGACAAAGCTTTAACTAGGTCCCATCTAAGACGCTGCAACCTATTCCTTACCAAGCTGTCGTGTATGGCCAGTTCCTGCTTCAGAAAAGCAATCTCCTTCTCCAAAGCCTTCACTGTCCCCTAGCAGGAAAACAAAAGGGTGAGCAAATGACTAAACGCTATTGGACAAAAAACCCTACAGAAAAGCAGCATTAAACTGGCTGCTAAAAGATATCATAGCCATACACCAGCTCCCCCAGGGTTTGCTGTCAGGTTTGCATCAGTGAAATAGCAGCTCTGGAAATCATTTTGCCTTTCATTAGCTTCCAACAGGACAGCTTCTGTTGTGTCCTGGGTGTACTGCCTGCAGAGTCAGACCAAGCCATCAAAGGAGAGCCACCTGGCTTTTAATTTCATGCTTCCTGAGCTGGTACTGTAGGGGCCATCACATTCTGGACTACGAGATATTATCTCAAAAGCAAAGAAGTGTGTAGGTTTCCACCCTGAGTCTTACCAAACTCAGTAGGAGTTCTGACATTAACTTTAATAGGGGAGAAAGTCCCCTGTGAGGTATTTGATTGAATTTCTCCATAACATGGAACATCTTCAAGCATTCACTATTTAGAATGTGTTTTCAGAAAGGTGTGGACACACAAATCACCTTGGGATTCAGGGAGAATTGGATACTGAGGTGCTTTTTAAGTGATTTGTTGAGCACAATAGCTTTCTTAAAGAAAAGTTAAACACTGCTGGATTAGAAGCAGCCCTAAGGAGAAGGACTTGGTGATGTTGGTCAGTGAGAAGCCAACCCAAGCCATTCTAGGATTCTATTATACTCTTTCAGCTACTCTTTTCCACTCTGCACATCTCAGATGAAAGGCACTGAAGAGGAAGAGACAGTTTGTTCCACAGCTTCTTCTGGAAGCTGTTGGAGGAAACTCCACAGCTGTTTCTCTGCTTGCCAGTGAGATCAGACCATGAAATATGGCAAGGCTCTCACGCATCACATGTGTTATGGATCTGAAAGCTCTAAACTAATTCCTTGGGCCATCAGTAATTCATAGAACACCTACTGCTGCCAGTTCTGTTTCAGCTGTGAAAGCGCACTCAGGACATCTGAAATAGTATCATCATTTTCTGTAAGTTATTTTCTAGTTTAAACAAGTTTTGTAATTGTGGCAAAAAAAGTTCTGTTACCAGCAGCAATGGGGATAATGTTGTGTAAAGCTGCAGGTAGGAATATAGACCATTTCATGGAACTATAGAATGGTTTGGGTTGGAAAGGACCTTAAAATTCATGCAGCTCCAACTCCCCTGCCATGGGCAGGGACACCTTCCACTAAACCAGGTTGCTCCAAGACCCATCCAAGCTGGCCTTGAACACTGCCAGGGATGGGGCAGCCACAGCTTCTCTGGGCAACCTGTGCCAGGGCCTCACCACCCTCACAGGGAAGAACATCCTCCTCAGATCCCATCTCAATCTCCCCTCTGTCAGTTTAAAGCCATTCCCCCTTGTCCTGTCCCTACAGACCCTTGTCAAAAGCACCTCTCCAGCTTTCTTGTTGGCCCCTTTAGGCACTGGGAGCTGCTCTAAGGTCCCCCTGGAGCCTTCTCTTCTCCAGGCTGAACAAGCCCAGCTCTCAGCCTGTCTCCATAGAAGTGCCTAGGAATTTCCCCACAGACCATGGGAGTAGCCCACAACATAATATCTCTGCTAAAAGGTCGATCTTATCCAAAAAATGAGGGACTTGTATGCAGGCACTTGAAAGAATTACCACACGGCAGCGAAGACATGAGCATCTGCATGACTGTAACACGTAGCATATTCAAGGTAACTGTGACTAAATACCAATGAAAAAAGGTTTAATACTAATCCATTTCATCAGTTACCTAAATTAGCAAATGTCAGCTCAGCTGATGAGTGGTAATTCATTACACTATCAAATCTCTGGTTTTTAAGGTTATTATCTTAAATATTAATGAACCTGACAAAAATTGCCTTCCTCTGTTCCCCTTCTCTACGTACCTCTCGGTCATACGTCTCATTGAGGACTGGCTCTGTCGTGACCCATTTTATTCTGTTAGCAAACCGAAGAGAAGACAACTGGAAAAGATATTAGCAAGGATATAATTTTCATAATCTGTTACTTCTTAATCATATCAGATCCCAGAACACAGAAATAAAATTTATTTAACTGCAGGGAGCAATATAGGATTTCTCATTCTGGGATCCTATCTTCTAATGCTCAGTGGCTTCTGTGTGATTAGCCAGCTTCAGGTGATGTCTTTGCCCTTTCTGTTCTGCTTGTGGACAGCTCTGTGTATATCAGAGCAGTGATCTCAAAAATACCCACACCCACTTCTCATAAAAATGAGACTTACATCCCAAAACCTCCAAATCACACATCAATGGCCTTCAAGTTTAACTCCTGCAATTGTGGTATCTTGAGAGTAAACCCCTACAGCCTGAAAATCCTCCTCTTGATGCAAAGCGTAGTAGCTGACTCCTGAGCAATACTGTTTCTAGATGCTATCAGAACACAAGAAGATGATGAAACAACTTCGCCTTGAAAACAACTACCCAACAGATTAATTTGGGTTGGTTTTTTTTGCTACATACAAACATACATACATACATATACTTTTCTTGGCAAAGAGCAAAGTGATTCCCTTCAAGGATACCACCAGCAGAGATAAAGATATCACTGTCCCACTCTACTCAGTGCTTGTCAGGCCACTCCTGAAACACTGTGCTCAGTTTTGGTCCCTGCTATACAAAAAAGATGTGGACAGGCCAGAGAGGGTTCAGAGAAGGGCCACAAAGATCATCCAAGGACTGGAAAGCCATGTGAAGAAAGGCTGAGTGAGCTGGGCTTGATCAGCCTACAGAAAAGAAGGCTCATAGGAGACTCTATCACCCTGTTCCAGAATTTAAAGGGTGGCTACAAAAAAGATGGAGAGTCCCTTTTTACAAGGAATTTCATTCAAAAGACAAGGGGCAGTGGGCACAAGTTACTCCTGGGGAGATTCCAGTTGGACAGAAGAGGAAGATTTTTCACAATGAGAACAATCAGCCATTGGAATAACCTCCCCAGTGAAGTGGTGACTCCCCAGTGCTGGACCCTCTTAAGACTGGGCTGGACAGGGTGCTGGGCCATGTAGTGTGGGTCATGCTTTGCCTGTAAAGGTTGAACCAGATGATCCTTGAGGTCCCTTCCAACCTGGGATTGCAGGATTCTGTGATTCTCTGTGTTACAGATGTGGTTAAGTGGATGCAGTTCACACAGTGAGACTTTCCTCAATTTCATCATTTCACAGGTTAAACCCCCCCCAGCGTTAGGAAGTTACTCCCACTTCCTGAAGCAGCAGAAAGCCAGCTCAGCTCTGCACCAGTGCAATCCCACTGACCTCCTTACACAATGTATCATTCAAATGCATTCATAGGGTTGAACCGTCAGTGTGCTTAGATTTTAGCTGCTTGTGCCTGCTCTATTTCAGGCTTTCATTTCTTCCCCTGGGAGAGTTACCACTCATCCGTTTGCATCACAAAGCAGATTGGTAAAAGCAATCTCTTCTCTGAGCCTTTGAGATAAGATGAATTAGGCAGAATGTTGCTCTGGAACTCCTGCCATAGCCCTCCAGAGACCAATCTTTAAACCAAGCTACAGCCAGTTGCAACAGTATCAAGAACAAGACTCGAATTCTGCAGAAATCAGTTCAACTTACAGTATGTTCCACATGTGCAGCTTCCCCACAGACATTTGCCACTAGGACAGTATTGCAGTTTCTCCCTGGGAAAAATAAAAAAATAATAATAAATAAAAGAATAATTTCCTAAAAGGCAAATAACACAATTAGGGGGTTCACTGTTTAATATTTTTTTTTAATGTATTATGTTCTGTGCTGACTAAAATAAGAGAAAAAAGAGCAACAAAGAACACAGCCAGTTTGTCCCTCTAAAGCTCCCACGGGTACGAAGACACAGTGGCACAGAATGACTGAAGAATGAAGGCAACATGCAGTTCTCACGTGGTGACGATGCAGGAGGAAGACAAGAACAGAAACTGTGAAAGCCTGAAACTGGGAAAACTGGGGCAGAGGATTTTAAAATCCCTTGGCCTAAATCTAACAGTGGGGAACCTGGCAGGATGTGGTCCCTGCCTTTCCTAAAAGCAACACAAGACTCATCTCAGAAATGCCTTGAAGATCACTCTCCTTTCTGATGCCTTTGGTTACACCACACAAACCCCCTCCAGCCTGTTTTCAACTGCTTTCCCCTCCCCTGTCTCCAGCATGCCAGGAGCACAAGCCTGGATTCATGATGTGCCTCATGGGTTTATCACTTGCAGCCTGATGCTAATGCAGGAGCACCTGAAAAGGTTTGCAACATGCTGTTTTGGTTTGTTTGGGTTTTTTGTGGCAGTTTTTCACAGCATTCTAACTAAGGTTTTGTGAATTTCTACTAGTTTGAGGAGTGTGAGCTTTGTACTGTCTCCTGCACCTGCTGTTTTATTTGATGAAGAAAATCAGACATCCTTTGAACAGTGGTGAGTTCTGTGTGTTTCTATGTTATGACCTTACAACTAGGAACTGTAGGGGCCTGCTACGATGCGCAGCTCTTACCCAGGGAGTCCTTGAGGATGTAAGTGAGCTTGCTCTGCCGGAAGGGGATGTGGTCCCTCTTAGGATCAGCCAGGGCAGTGATGACTTGCTCCAGGAACGACAGAGACTTGTTGATGTACGTGGCTTCCTTCAAAAGCTGTCCTTCAGACTGTAATGAAAGATCAAAAGGCAAAACTTCCACAACACATACTTCTGGCCAAACTGCAGGAGGGAGCGTACTACTCACTGAGAGTAAAACTCTGTTTGCTTCTGAGGGTAAGGAGCTAATTCAGACCTGATAAATTCATGAGCTAAAGCTTTCTTCAGTTTGAAAACAAGTTTTCAGATACCTCAATTTTTCATTACAAGTCTCCAAGGACCACTGCCTTTCCCCCAAGCAGGGTAAATCATGTTTTGGCATGGGGTTGATGCAGTTTCTACTCTGCTCAATGTAGAATGTCACACGGGACCTGAGAATCTTTCAGTTGTTGAGCCCTAACACGCTATGAAACTTTTGATAGTTTGCCTGCCATGACCAGAATTTGCACTGTTGCTGCTGGAATGAAGAGGAAAATCAAAGGCTCTTTGATAAATTACAGACTCAAATGAGTCTGGGTTGGGTTGGAAAGCAAACGCAGGATAGGAGTCACTTAGAAATGATACACAGCAGCTGCAAACAACTCAGCACCCTCTGACATGTTACAGTGACTTACAATTTGTCACAGTGTCACCTATTTATCACAGGCTGAATTCTCTTGTGGGGTAAACCTGTAATTTCACCTCCACCTTGTTGGTTACTGGGCTCATCACCACAGACTGAAATATTTCTTCCATCACTTACTCCAGACTTGCTCAGTCTCTCTGAGCCTGCCAGATCTATGAAGTTGATTTTGGAGTTAACACATTTGACGTCTGAGAAAAATCTGAAACGAGACTGAGGGAGAAAAGAATATAAACTGTAGACAAAACTGAAATACAGTAAAAACCACATGTGTAAAGATCCTCAGCCACTTGAGTCCCCAGAAAAACTGCTGGAGCGCTTACCTCAATGTAAATAGTAAAGATGCAATGGGACCTGGACGAATGCTTATTCAGTGCATGCTCTGCTATCACTCTTTTGTTCTCACCCTGCAAATGAAGTCAAAATTCAAACAGTGTTTTTAAACTTCTGTATGGGTAGAATGAAAGGAAATTATAAATCCACACAGTTAAATAAATGACAGTTCGATCTTTGCTCCATACAGACTGTAACTCTGATCAGTTGGTTCACAGAATCACAGAATTGTTACTGTTGGAAGGGACCTTCCAATCAGCTCATCCAGTTCCAACCCCCTATCACAGGCAGGGACACCTTCCACTAGATCAGGTTGCTCCAAGCCCTGTCCAGCCTGGCCTTGAACACTGCCAGAGATGGGGCAGCCACAGCTTCGCTGGGCAACCTGTGCCAGGGCCTCACCACCCTCACAGGGAAGAACTTCTTCCTCACATCTCACTAAATCTCCCTTATATCAGTTCAAAGCCATTCCCCCTTGTCCTGTCCCTACCTGCCCTTGTAAAAAGCTCCTCTCCAACTTTCTTGTCAGCCCCTTTAGGCACTGGAAGCTGCTCTAAATTCTCCCCCGAGCCTTCTCTTCTCCAGGCTGAACAACGGTTAGGGCAGTCAGAGTGGGAACTCACCATGTTTGCCTTGTTTTCTTACTCAAAGGCCTCTCAAAGCATTTCATGGGGGGTTGATAAAGGTCACAGTTTACTATAATAATGCCTTTTACTGGAAACTATTTCCACTTTTGATGCTCAGCTCACAGAATTGTAGCTTTTTGAGAAACAGTCAGGCAAGCCTTGCTCAGAGGCAATACTTCCCTGGCTGTTTCAGTTTCTTCATGACTAGAAACCCAAAGAGCTCTCCAGGCTTCAAATGTCATAGAAAACTCAAACATACACAATAGCTACAAATCTGTAATGCCTGCTTACAGGAAAAGAAAGTGACATTGAAAATGACGTGGTCACTGTTTGTTAGGAGTGCCAGGCTATCACAGAGCAGTGCTGTCAGGCTGGCAAGGCAGAAAAGGCAACAGAAGGAGGCTCTACAGCACAGAAATGCTCCTGTCAATAGGTTTCACAGCCAGAATCTGCCTGGCTCTCAAAAGACAATGACTTTTGAGAGCTGAAAGGTCAGCAACTGGCTCCATGCTAGGCAGTCTAAATCCACAAGCAAGAAAGTGAAGAGCTTCCGGTATCAATACTATCAAGCCCAGTCCACAAATGAAGAATCACAGCATGTGGCCAACATCCTCAAAGCCTGGAGCTTTCTCTGTGAACCTCAAACCACAGGCAGAACTAATCTAAGGATGCTGAATGGGTCCCCAGGCCCCACTTGCACTTCTTTTATTAACAGATCTCAAGCTAAGTCACATTATCATTATCCTACTCTTTAAAAAGAAAAAGAGAGTTCCTGGCAGTCACAGAAGCTGACTTAGGATACCACAGTCACATTATTAAAAAGGTAAGTGAAATACTTTAAGGACACCAGGTGGTTCCTGCTATGAATACACTTCCTGCATACAGCACCAATTCTTTATTCATGTTTTCTTTAAGAACTAAAGCATCCACAGTAAAAGAAAGATGCAGGTATAAGTAAGCAAACTCCCTTCACAAATCTAACCCCTTGTGTGAACATCCTGCTGTAAAATCTGACTAATGCCTGTGCCATGATCATCCCAAACTATCTGCCCAAGACGCTGCTGCAAAGACTTTCCTTGGAACATGGACATAGCTAGGTCAGGCACATGTGTTTTTTCAAGAAGAAATTCCACTGTAGATCAGCTGGTTGGTCTAAAAGGATCCCAAACATCGGACACTTTGTACTAAGCCACTCACCAACACCCTTATGTGATAACCAGGGTCATGAAAACAAATCTTTTGGGCTGTCTAGGATCTCAGCCTGCTGATGCAGCCAGTGAGATAAACCTTTTCAAATGAAGGCATTCTGTGGCTGCCTTCTGTATTTTGGTGCTGTCTGAAACCTCCAATGCTACTACATTCTGTGATCTCACCCCAACATGTTTCACCCATCACTTGACTTGCTCTGGCATACAGTAAAACCAGAATTTCCCCAAGGAGATCTTCCAGAACCTCGGTGCCAGAACATGGGCTACAAAGAATTACTAGTTCTTCTACCCACACAACAAAGAGAACAAAGAGGGCTGAACCTCCCCCCAGCCCTCCTGGCCACCCACCTCCTGCTTTACTGCCTCCTCCCTGTGCTAAGCCAACAAACAATTAGATGAAGTGTAATATTTGTTTTCTCTTGCCTCAAAAAGGAGACTTAGAGCATCTTCCTCGAGGCTAACTTTATGTATAGATAAGCCCTTCACATAAACCCCTTCTGGGGAATCCACAATAGCCATCTGCATGCCACCGCTCCCGTTGCTTGTCACGGTGGACAGAAGGTCAAACAAGCACTCATTGTAGATTTCCAGATAGGATATTCGGACAGTGATGAGTGGATCAGTGGATTGCGCAGTTGCTTTGAAGACCTACACAAAGAGAAGGAATTTGTCAACAGCAGTGCTAGTTCACAAACAGAATAATTAGCTATATATGGTGTTCCAGAAAAGCTATTCATAACTTTCTGAACAGCTGTAAGTGCATCCACGTGTGTGTAGCTAATTCTGAACAGGAGTTGCCTGAGGGCTGACAGGGCTAGGTCAATAATTTTAATGTGATTTTGCAAAATGGAAGTGCTGAAAACAACACTTAAATGCCTGCTTACGTTTGAGAAGCAGCCAATAGAATTATACAGAAGCAACCTCTGCAAATGACAATAAAGCATAACTACAGAATTATTTCTGTCTTTGTTTCACAGAATTATCAAATCACAAACTGGTTTGGGTTGGAAGGGATCTTAAAGCTCATCCAGTTCCACCCAACCCTGCCATAGGCAGGGATACCTCCCACTTGACCAGGTTGCTCCAAGCCCTGTCCAACCTGGCCCTGAACACTGCCAAGGATGGGGCAGCCACAGCTTCTCTGGGCAACCTGTGCCAGGGCCTCACCACCCTCACAGGGAAGAACTTCTTCCTCACATCTCATCTCAATCTTGCTTATTTGAGTTTAAAGCCAATCCCATTGTCCTGTCCCTACCTGCCCTTGTCAAAAGCCCCTCTCCAGCTTTCTTGTTGGCCCCTTTAGGCACTGGAAGCTGCTCTAAAGTCTCCCCAGACCCTTCTCTTCTCAAAGGTGAACAAGCCCAGCCCTCTCAGCCTGTCTCCATATCAGAGGTGCTCCAGCCCTTGGAGCATCTTTGTGTCCTCCTCTGAACTCACTCCAACAGCCCCACATGCTGTGTGTCAGATGTCTTTGTGAAAATGGAAAGCATTCTGTGTCACTGCCTAAAGATAAACACACCTATCCCCTCAAAGCACAGCTAAGCTTGTGCCTCTGAACAGGGACAAATCTATGTAGCAATGGGACTGACAAACCAGCATATTTCCAGACAACACCATCCCAATGCTCTTAAACGTCATCATTATCAAAGCACAAGGTCATGATGTAGTTAAACAAATCTAGAAAGTAACTATGTTTTACAGGCTCCTTTAAATCTTTAATGATCTTATCTTAGATTAAAAGAATTAAAAAAAACCACTGGTGGAGATAAATTTATAACATATTCACCATGTTAAAACACTTCTATGAGTATCAGCAAAAGCTGATACAAGAGATGTCCTTGCTATTTCTTCCAGCTTCTTTTCCCAGTCAAATCCAATACCTGCTGTATAGCTCGTGGTATGATTCCTCGATGCTTGTAATCAGCAGTTGTTCCCATCATGGTGTAAGTTTTACCAGCCCCTGTTTGCCCATAGCACATTATCGTGCCTAGAAAAGATTCAAAAGCAAAAGAATAAACTCCAGAGGTAACCTCTGTATTTCACAAATAGAATATCAACAGGATCTCTCCCTCAGATTAAATCTTCACTTACTGTCAAAATAAGGCCAAGTGCAAGGTCCTACACCTGGGTCAGGGCAATCCCAAGCACAAATAAAGGCTGTGGAAGACTGGATTGTCTCCTAAGGAGCAGGACTTGGGGGTGTTGGTCCATGAGAAGCTCCCCATGACCCAGCAGTGTGTGCTTGCAGCCCAGAAACCAACCATGTCCTGGGCTGCATCACCAGCAGCATGACCAGCAGGGTGAGGGAGGGGGTTTTCCCCTTCTACTCCACTCTGGTGAGATCCCCCCCTGCAGTCCTGCATCCAGCTCTGAGGCCCCAACACATGAGAGAAGTGGAGCTCTTGGAGCAAGCCGAGAGGAGGCCATGGACAAGCTCCAGAGGGCTGGAGCACCTCTGCTATGGAGATAGGCTGAAGGAGCTAAGCTTGTTCAGCCTGGAGAAGAGAAGGCTCCAGGCGGACTTTAGAGCAGCTTCCAGTGCCTAAAGGGGCTGATAAGAAAGCTGGGAGGGGCTTTTGACAAGGGCAAAAAGAAAAGAGGGAATGTCTTTAAACTGACAGAGGGGAGATTGAGATGAGATGTGAGGAAGAAGTTCTTCCCTGTGAGGGTGGTGAGGCCCTGGCACAGGTTGCCCAGAGAAGCTGTGGCTGCCTCATTCCTGGCAGTGCTCAAGGCCAGGCTGCACGAGGATTAGAGTAACCTGGTCTAGTGGAAGGTGTCCCTGCCTGTGGCAGGGGGTTGGAACTGAGTGAGCTTTAAGATCCCTTCCAACCCAAACCAGTTTGTGATTCTATCATTCTATGTTAAGAGCAGCAAGTTACCATTATAGCCAATTAAAGCTTCGGACACCAATTTTTTTGCCACTGTCTCATAAAGCTGTTCCTGGGAGGTGTTGTGAAGGACACCATCCATCCTAAAGCTCCAGCTGGTCTGGCTGTTATTCATAGCTTCTTTCTTGGCATCTTTTTTGAGGCAAATCTCTATGCTCTGAAACCCAAAAAGAGAGGAAGTTAACTTTGATAACCGTGAAGAGTTTCAGCAATTGTTGTCCAAAGAGAAAAAATATGCACTGAAGACCTGGAGGCCAGGAGGAAATGGAGCACAAAGAGCACTACTGTTGTACTGAACCTGATGGTATTTTCTGGTAACACATATTCTACATAAAAAAAAAAAGAAAGAAGGAAAGGTGGCTCAGCTCATCTGTTTAGCCCCCAGTGATGTGTCTGATCTTGTGTCCCAGGGAAATTATGAACTAAGCAAGAGAAGATGAAGGGAGGAACTTGCATAAGGGAGGATAGAAACAGACTGTTCCACCGGTTGGAACTGAAGTTACCACTGGGAATTCCTCAAGGATCAGTCAGAGTCCCCGTCATTCTGAGGATTTCCTCTAGTCACTGCATCACCAGAAGTGTGCTTTCTGTAGTCACACTTGCTGATACAAAGCCACAAGCCTCTATCAGTGCAGAGGAGAACAGCAAGCAGGACAAAACAACATGCACCAAAATGTGTGGCCTTAAGGAGTGGAAGAATTCTGCATTTCAGTGGGCAAAAATTGAAACCAAATCCCAATCTTTTTGTCTACCTTGTTATCTGGCCCAAACTTGATCATATCTTGAGCAAAATTAGCTGTTGGCTTGACTCGCAGGAATGCATGGACTCTCTTTCTTACTAGATACATACTAACTAAAGAGGGAAAAAAAGGAAAAAATCAACACTGTTGCATTCCCTAAAAAGAAATGTAATGTTATTTGTCATGAAAAGGCAAGATACAGAGAAGTCAAGTTTAAAAATAAAGTGTTGACAAATGTTCAGTTGCGGTTTCTATTCTTTATGAAAAGCAACTGTGGGCAACCAGATGTTGAAAATTCCAGCATTGTTCTGCTCAGAACACTGAGTATGTATACAGAGAATTACTGATCATGATTTCCTCTTGTGTACCAGGCACATTAGTGTTTGACAGCACAAGCTTCCCCTCCTCTCAGGCTTGCAAAGAAAATAATTGCAGGAATATGAGAAGCATTTTCTTTTGTCCAGTGTTTTCAGTGTGTGAAGGCACTTGCAGCCTCCTGGTTTGTAGTGTCTGATCATCCAGAACTCGATTTCAGGCTTCTGAGGTTTTGAGTAAGATGTGCTGTAGGTGAAACCATGGCAAAAGGATCTCAACAGCACTGCAAAGGGCTGTGCAGTTGTTGGTATGCAAACATTTCCAGTGCTCTGAACAGCAGTTACCTTGTTTACAGTCTGGAATGATTGTGCACTTCCCATATTTTGGAATTAGAACCCCTTATTTATACTAAGCCATAAAAATATTTAAAAGCTCCTGATGAAGACCTGATCTTAGAGTTTCCAGAAGAAAAAGAAAAACCATGTGCCTGACAACTGATGAAATTCTTATCTTATTCTTCAGGTCAGTGTGAATGCAGGGAGTGGCTGTCAATAGCCAGTGACACCAGAGGATCTGCTGACCAAAGCTGCAGATGGGCTTGCAGGATATATCCAGCTGCTTAAAAAGCTGCTTTAAACGCCTGGTACATGCAGATCCTGTGTTTTCCCCCCACGATTTCCTACAGACAGCCTGTGATCAACAGTTGTGTGATAATCTAGGGTCAATTTCTGGTTTCAAACAAAATATTTTCTAATTCTTGTACATTAATTACTGTGCTCTCTCCAGCACCTTATCTCCTCTGACTGCTCTAAAAGGAAACATAGAGCTGTGAGTTGGACCAAGACTTCTCTTTAAAACAGAGGTGAGCATTTGCATGACTACCTGGTAAAGGTAATGTGGGCTCCTTGTACCCTTCCCAGATGATCTCAGTGATTCCAACACATGATCGCTGTGGAATCCAAAATGGTGCTAAGTTTCCAAGTTCACAGTCTCTTCAGACTGGGAGACAGTCTTCAAATAAACGATCTGTGAAAAAGCACAGTGATACAGAAGTGCACGGATATCCCCATAAGGATCTCCTCTAAATGACACACACATAAAGCTGCCAAGACATTTGCCAGTACTGTGTGAACAGACACAGGAGCAGCACAGGTACAAGCTGAATGGAAGAAGAAATGGAGCTTTAAACCTGGGAACCAGCATGGAAATGCTGCTCATCTGGTTATCAAGATTGTAAGAGGTCACAAAACTCTGCTATATAAATAGAATGTTACAGTGGTATGTGCCTTATTTCATAGAATAACAGAATCACAGAATCCCAGACTGGTTTGGGTTGGAAGGGACCTTAAAGCTCATCCAGTTCCAAACCCCTGCCACAGGCAGGGACACCTTCCACTAGACCAGGTTGCTCCAAGCCCGTGTCCAACCTGGCCTTGAACACTGCCAGGGATGGGGCAGCCACAGCTTCTCTGGGCAACCTGTGCCAGGGCCTCACCACCCTCACAGGGAAGAACTTCTTCCTAAGATTTCACCTCAATCTCCCCTCTGACAGTTTAAAGACACTCCCCTTGTCCTAAACATGAGAAGCAAACTAGGGAGGCAAAGCTGCCTGGGGGAAACAACCATGAAGCAGCCCCTAGAATTCCATCTCCAGTGACACTTTGAGCACTGAGTTCATCCAATTGGACAACAATCCAGTACCACCTCGGTCCTGAAGAGAACCAGGGGAGTACAGCCCCAAACTGCCCCCAGAGCTGAGCGCAAACAAAGCAGAACAAGACAAGGGCTTGAGGATGGCTGGGACTGACTGAGACGGACTGTACCCTCAGCATGTTTGTTGACAACACTGAGCTATATGGTGCAGTCGACATGCTGGAGGGAAGGGTTGCCATTCAGAGGGGCCTGGACAGGCTGGAGAGGTGGGACAGTACCAGCCTCATGAAGTTCAACACGGCCAATGCAAGGTCCTACACCTGGGTCAGGGCAATCCCCAGTCACAGGCTGGAAGAGTCTAGACTGAGAGAAGCCCTGAGGAGAAGGACTTGGGGGTGTTGGTCCATGAGAAGCTCCCCATGACCCAGCAGTGTGCGCTTGCAGCCCAGAAACCAACCATGTCCTGAGCTGCATCACCAGCAGAGTGACCAGCAGATCGAGGGAGGGGATTCTCCACCTCTACTCCACTCTGGTGAGACCGCCCGCCCCTGCAGCCCTGCATCCAGCTCTGTGGCTCCAACATGAGAAGGACGTGGAGCTGCTGGAGTGAGTCCAGAGGAAGTCACAAAGAAACACCGAGGGCTGGAGCACCTCTGCCTGAAGACAGGCTGAGAGAGCTGGGCTTGTTCAGCCTGGAGAAGAGAAGGCTCCAGGGACACCGTAGAGCAGCTTCCAGTGCCTAAAGGGGCCAACAAGAAAGCTGGAGAGGGGCTTTGGACAAAGGCAGGTAGGGACAGGACAAGGGGGAATGACTTTAAACTGACAGAGGGAAGATGTAGATGAGATCTCAGAAACAATAACAAGTTCTTCCCTGTGAGGGTGGTGAGGCCCTGGCACAGGTTGCCCAGAGAAGCTGTGGCTGCCCCATCCCTGGCAGTGTTCAAGGCCAGGTTGGACGGGGCTTGGAGCAACCTGGTCTGTTGGAAGGTGCCCCTGCCCATGGCAGGGGTTGGAACTGGATGAGCTTTAAGACCCCTTCCAACCCAAACCAGTTTGTGATTCTGTGATTCTCTAACAGGGAAAAGAGGCTTGCCAGGGCCAGCCATGCCCACAGCCCTGCTTTCTGGCTCAGGGGCCAAGGCGGGTGATCTGTCAGGGCCTGAGGTAAAGTGGGGAAAAGGGTCATACGTGTTGTAGAGAGCAAGGCCTGTGGAGACACCGCCTGGGGTGGGGGCAACACAGCCTTGCTGGGCGGGGGACGACGACAAGGTCCTAAGAGGGTTGATGCGGCCTGTGGGGCCGGCACTGCCGGGGGAGGCGGGTCGCGACAAGGCCCTGCGGAGAGGCTTGCTCCCGGGGCAGCTCCGCCCGCACCTACCTGTGTCCCGCCTCAGCCGGGCGGGGGCGAAGGGCGGCCGCAGCGGTGCCGGGGCTGTGTACACCGTTGCCATGGCAGCCACCTCTTCCGGCCGCTTCCGGAAGAGGGTTATGACGGAAGTGGGCGGGGTGGTGGCCGCGCTACGGCGGCCGGGCGTGGACAAGGCGCGGGGGAGGCGAAGCGAGGCGGGGAGTGGTGGCAGTGGTTGGGAAGATGCTGGAGACGGCGGCAGCAGCGGCGGCGGCTGAGCCGGAGCTGGACCCCGAGGACCTGGTGCACTTCTCGGTGGGCGATCTGCCCAGCCGTGGTTATGGCGTGATGGGCGAGATCCGGCGGCAGGGCAAGCTCTGCGACGTGACCCTCAAGGTGCGGCCCGGCCCGGGGGCGCTGGGGGGTCCCAGGTCCCCGAGGGGTGCTTGAGGGACCCTTTGCTGGGAAGACGGAGGGAGCAGGGGTCCCCTCGGGGGCTTTGATGGGGGAGGTAAGGGGGGAGCTGAGGGCCCCCCCAGCCACTCTGGGGGGTTATCAGGGGGTGTCTGGTCTCCCCAGCCCCAGGGGGAGCTCTTCGAGGGCCGCTTGGTGAGGGGTGTGCTGAGCAGCTCCAGCCCAGGGTGGGTGCAGGGGTGTGCTGGTGACAGCCGGTCCCCGACGCTGCTCCTCATCCCAGGTGCAGGGTGGGAGATGGAGCTTCTGTCTCCCTTGGGACCATCGTGGGGTTTTCCTGCAGCCAGGCGGAGTGATGCAACCAAGGGGCTTCTCTGGGGAGGAAACAGAGCGCCCCAGCACCTCCGCCACAGTTTAGTGGTGGTACTGGTGCTGAGGGAGGTCAGACGATGGGTTGGTGCGGATTCATGGACAAGCCTCTCCTCCAAACCTTGGGAGAAGAGTCATTTTCCTCGGGAAACTTTTATCTTTATAAAACACCCACTTTCCTGCATCGAAGAAATTATCTATAACAGGTAAATCCTCAGGGTTGTGTTTCTGGCTCTGTGGGGGGCTGAAAGGGCTTTGAGAGTGGCCAGTGCCGGGCAGGAGATGCTGGAGCCCTTCAGTCCAGGAGGAGTTTGTTGTGCGGTGGGTGTGCCTTTAGCTCCTTGGATTGCTTGAGTCATTCCAGAGTCATTCCAGAATTAACTCTGAAGTTTAATTAAATGTGAAGGTGTTTCCCAGCCTACTCATGCTGAAACATCTCACCTACCTCCTGCTCCTGAAGAAGGAGCTGGAGAGGGTTGTGCCTGTCGTGAGGAATGCGGGATTTGGGTGAATCCCTGGGCTATGTGAGGGTGCTTCATCCCTGTAGAACAATAGCCCCCCAGCTGAAATGCTTATTGTGAAGAGGATGCCTGTATGCTGATCCTCCTTGGCAGGGGTCATACCATTTAAGGTGTGGTATTTCAGAGAATCATGGAATGGTTTGGGTTGGAAGGGACATTCAAAGCCCATCCAGTTCCAACCCCCTGCCATGGGCAGGGACACCTTCCACTAGACCAGGTTGCTTCAAGCCCCATCCATCCTGGCCTTGAACACTGCCAGGGATGGGGCAGCCACAGCTTCTTGGGGCACTGGGCCAGTGCCTCACCACCCTCACAAGGAAGAACATCTCAGATCTCATCTCTGTCTCCCTGACCATTGTTCACAAAACCCTTCTGAAAGGGTTTCCATTTCGGTAGATTTTCTACAGGCAAGCACTTTTTAAATCCTGCTCATGTCCCTTTGTGTATCTTCTGGGGCAGAGTGGGAAACGTTTTAAAGTCTTGAGGGCAGCGGGAGCTATCCAGTGCAGTGGTCAGACCGAATGTGCTGATGGTGCTGGGCCACTTCATGGGTGAGGGTGCTCTGTTGGCCCCGCTTTCTTTTTTTCCTTTTATTACATTCTGTTCCAGAGCCTGTTGCTATCTGGGTAGGGCACAGAGTATTTCATCCTACAAAGGCTTAAAATGTATTAAGGATGTCTCTGTTGTTCTTGAAATGAGTCTTAACTTTCTCCACTACTTGCTTAATTCTTTATTATACTGAAGAGAGACCCTGGCCCTGACTGGTACGTTTGGCAGAGGGCTGACAGCATGTTTCCCTGTTGGTTTCAAGTCCTGCTTTCCCTTGTACACATGCACCCTCAGGATTGATTGATTGATTGGTTGGTTCCTCATGTTGTATTGAGTCATCCTATCAAAATATCCCACTTCTTTGCCACTTCTGCCTCTTGACATCAGGTTTCTCCATCCCATGGCAATAGAACTAATGCAGCCTGATGAATCTGAGCCAAGCCTTCCCTTCTTGTTCAGTACATGGTGTCTCCTCTAGCTGCTGACTGGTTAAGAAGTAATTTTTCTTAGCTGGACTTTGGAGGTGTCTTTGAGTCGGTGAACCACCTCGAGTGCAGCTGACACAAAGCGTGCTCATCCCTGACTTGCGTTGGTGAGGCTGTAAACCCAGCACGACGCAGAAGGACCCTGCCACATGAGTTGTCACGCAGGGATGTCTTTCCAGTGCTTCTTGCCCAAAATGAAGGTAGGAAAAGCACTGAGAAACATTTAAAGACCACATCTGAAAGAAACCATCATGGGTCCTGGTGTGTCTCGCACCACTGAAGTGAGTTTGTTGCCCTCTGTTCTTCTTTTAATCCTATTACTTTTAAGGCTTAGTGTGCCTAAAAGTGCTAGGATTCCTTGTCACAGCAGAATGCCTTCTGGTGTGACTTTAGGTAACATCAGGAGAAAAGCTACTAAGCACCATTTTGGGCCAGAAGCTGGATTCCCTCTGATGTAATCAGCAGCTGAAATGGGAGCAAGCAGCTTTGTTGCAGCACAGTTCAGGTTTTTAGCAGCCTCTGTACCAATATCACCATGGGGTCAGTGGCTGTAAATGATTCTCCCAGCGCACAGAAATGTATAAACAGGCCACAAATTGCTATGAAGTGTTGTCACTCTCGTTTGTTTCAATTAATCCCCTCGTGAGGCCAGGCAAGAATTCATTCAGTAAATAGGAGGGGTGGAATTTGTTCCCCTTCCTCAGAAACCATCTTCCTGCAGTTCATGCTGCTCTGCAGGAGACGGTGCTGCCTCAGCAGCGTACGGCAGCTGGGTTTAGAGGCGATTAAGAGCAAGAAGTGCTGACTTGATCAGCTCCCTTGGAGGTCCAATTATCCAAACTCAGCTTAGGGAAATCTGTTGCTGCTTCTCACAATTGCCCATGTGAAAATGAACATCTCACAGGGCAGTAAGCGAGGTGTGCATCTTTCCAGCACTTAGGATGTGTCCATTGAGAGCCAAAGCTCCACCGTGCATGGATGTTTGAGCCTAGAGATTTTAAAAGTCCTTTTCTATTCCTGCCTCTTAAATATCTATGGGTCAGAGCTTTTGAAGATATTCCATCGCAGGCATCTGTCCTTTCAGTCATCCTTCGTTGGCCCTCTGAAATGTTTAGTTAAATACTAATTTAGGATGGTTTGATAGAAACACATGTGGATAAACTGGAGGCAGGAGGGAAGCAAGGAGGCACACCTTATTCTGTGGTTAGTTCATTTTTCCTTAGTAAGAGTAGGATTTTTGCTTACTAAAGCCAGATTTCTGCTACTGCTTTCTTCTTTAAGGATCTATAGACTGTGTGTTGGTGATGTCTTGTCTGGTAAAAGAAGGACATGTGGGGACAGGACAAGGGGGAATGGCTTTAAAGTGACAGAGGGGAGATTGAGATGGGATCTGAGGAAGAAGTTTTTCCCTGTGAGGGTGGTGAGGCCCTGGCACAGGTTGCTCAGAGAAGCTGTGGCTGCCCCATCCCTGGCAGTGCTCAAGGCCAGGTTGGACCCAGGGGCTTGGAGCAGCCTGGTCTGGTGGAAGGTGTCCCTGCATCCATGGCAAGGGATTGGAACTGAATGAGCTTTAAGGTCCCTTCCAACCCAAACCATTCTGTGATTCTGTGAAATCAGGACATCCCACGAAACCAGCACAGAAGCAGCCATTCTCCATGCGCTTTCCATACCCTGCATCTGGGCACAAACTGGGGTTTCCAGTGATGGACTGAAGTTTCAGTTATCCACATCTCTTAGGCTTGAAATAGGCTGTGAGGGGCAAAGTCTATATACATGCTCGAGATGGGTTCAAATTTAACCTGCTGTATTGAGGTCTTTGGGTGTCACCTGCTATGGGCCAGATGTTATTGCAGTTATTGACAGCCGAACTTAGTGAGGTTTGATTTCTGTATCCACCTGGTTTACCCCAGAATCTGGATATAAAGCATTTTCTTTCAGGCTGTCTTCATGTGAGGAGCCTTTTGGGTTGTTTTCTGGCTCTCATGCTCCTCCCCAGTCACCGCTCCTCTCTTCCCCAGAGCTCTTTCTTCCCAAGAGCATTTCACCCTTAGCATTGCTTTCTGGCGAAACCTAGGAGCCTTTACTTATTTCTGCTGTCCCCACTGCTGTTGATTTTACTGTATTGAAAGAAATTAATTAGCTTCTTGTTAAGCTCACTGGATAGGAAAAGCTCTGCATTAAAGGTTTGGGCCCTCATTGCTTTGCTTTCCTATACACAATAGCACAGCAGAACCTTTCCTGCTTATTTTACAGTGGATTTGCAATCATTTTTTCTGTGTGTGTGTGTTCTCAAAGGAGTTCAGAGCTCACAAATAAATGCTGCAAAAGGGCAAAGAGTTTCAGTTCCATGATGAGTACACGTATTTGGGAGTGTTATTCCCTGGAGATCCTAGTCTGCTTTTTAATTGCAGAAAAGCAGCTACTTGGTATTTGTCTTCCTGAGCATTGTTTTTTGAAGACAAATCTCCTCTCAAGATGAAAGCTGCTTGGGCAGCTTTGTTTTCTGGAGCTTGCATGGCTGCTTTGGGCCAAGGTACAAGTGCTCTCTAGGGACATATCAGCAGCTTGCTAGAAGCCTGTGGACTGCACCACTCCATAAAACAGGGAAGTGATACTTATCCTGTTTCTTCATTGGCAAATTTAGGGAGAGCAAATATCTTTATAGCTCCTGCTTGCTCCCATCCGAGCCAGGAAACTGGGTGCCAGGCTGGCATCTTCAGTCTTGGCTAAACCTGTGTCCAGCAAGAGAAGGTTTGTGCCTTTCTGACTCCTCAAAGAGTGAAGTTAACGTGAGCTCCTCTTGTTGTTGCTGCTTTTCATTTTGGTTTGGATCGCTTGAATGCCGTATTTCCATTACTAACTCCAAGAGTCATTAGAAAAGTGTCTTCAGAAATAATACAACCCTGGCAAGTTAAAGTATTCCCAGGCTACGGAGAGGTTGTAGTATTTATTTCACATACAATCCAAATCGGACTGACAGGCCATAGTCCTGTTGGCTTTTCTCCCCTTCTAATCACAGTTCTTCCCAAAGCAGCCTGTTCACTTGAAACCTTCCAAA